AAATGTTTCTAAGTCTTTTTTAAATGTTCACTTACAAAAGACTTAGAAAAATTTTCAACCTTGGGCTACCAACGCTTTTTCAAATGTTCACTTACGAAACACCTACAATATTTTCAAACACAATTTATCAAATTTTACTATAGTTAGAACGACATAATTTTTTAATTTAAATTTTTATGAAAATGCTTTTAGATTTGTTTATATGTATTCATATTTAGAATACAACCACACCTATTTGTTAAAGCACGCGAAAATATATATACATTATTCATTAGCATTTTTGAAACAATACAATATTGACATTGCTGACCTCCATTGTTTCGTACTGATTTGCAACGTTTTAGTTATTTTGCAATTTAACGTTTGTTATGTTGATGTAAATATAACTAAAAGCAAGTCATCTGTTTGCACACATGTAAACACACTTGTTAAAATGACTATATGCAGCACACACTTTTTGTAATTATACAATTACTGCTACAGGGTGTATAGAAAAAAAACAATCCCAACTTTGACACCTTAAAATGTTTTCTTATTCCTATTTATATAAAGATTTAAAAATTTTTGTTTAATTTTTCAACTGGAACATTTCGAAAGGTAGCATTCAAAAGCTAAAAGGGCGAGGTTTATTTGTATGAAAAAAGTGAATGGATAATTTAATTTTATAAACCCTGCATAAGTGATTTAAGGCAGTCCTTGTAAACGCAAGTAAATCATATTACATTATAGGTCAATTGTTTTCACCACGGCATCCATTTTTTTACAACAGTCCAATAAGTTTGAGATGGAACCTCTTCTTTTTCTTCGCTCGTTTCGCCGTCTCTCTCTCGTCTCTGCTTTTCCATCTCCCTTGCAATGGGGCAGCGACTTCTAAGCACTAGAACGTTCGCTTCGTCACGAATACTTTTCAGGTGTGGTAATATTTCTGGATTCTGTTTAACAAAGATGGACACGTCGAATACCTCTCGTTGTCTCCCAGTCATTATCATCCATGCGTCAATCTCTGGATCGGCCTTCGTCCAGAAATGCTGTTCGTCCTTCGTTCTTTTCAGTTTGGCCTTCCGCAGGCGTTCTAGGAAGGAGTGGACGTGAGCTTTTGTCACGGAATTGTGACCGTATTTTATGATCGCTGCCACCTTTCCCATATATTTTTTGCTATTCAGCGTCCAAACAGTTGTTGGCGAAGAGCGAGCCATCTGCAGGCTGGACAGTCCTTCTCCAGAGCTTGACATTTCGTCCTCATTTTCAGGTACTTGGACGGTATCACAACTATTCGACGGCGGTTGCACAGTCTCTGCCTCATTCCTCTCAATGTCCGAGGCTGGTGGATTTTCCCTTGCTTTCGATTGATGCGTGTCAACTTCAGGCAGTTGGTCGCTGCCGCTGGGAGAAGTATTTGACGGCGGTTGGAACGTCTCGGGTTCTTGCGTTTCAGGAACGGTTGGAGGATGTTGTTGCAATTCCTCTGATATTGATTGTGATGTTTCACCTTCTATGTCAACATTTCGACCAATGTCCATTTCTGATTCTGCCGATTCCTCATCGCACGGCGACGTCCGAGCAGCACGTCTCTTTCGTCGTAGTCGCCTGGCTCTTGCTTCGGCTGCGAAGCTTTCGTGAATTGCAGGTGCGGTTTCGTCATCATCTCCATTGTCCTCGCGAAGTAAATCTGCGTGAGATATTAGCTTTAGTTTGGAATGATCGAGCAATGATTCTCCCTCCTTCGCGCTGATCGTAAACGTCGGTGTCCGGGTTTGCTCGTACCATAGCTCGTCCTGTGGCAGGAGATGTCGGTTGTTGTTGATTTCATTGGCGATCCACGCGACACAATCCATGGCATGATCGTAAAGCCATCGGTCAATACCTGTCCGTGTTCGTGGAAGAGATGTGGTGGTAAAAATTGCAATTCTTCGTTTGACATTTTCATCGTCTTTCCCGAAGTCCGGCACTTCATTGGTGGTGATGTAATAGGGACTGTTGTTAAGAATTGTCCTCGGTAAACCGTGCTTCACTGCAGTAACCATCCAGCCTCCTTGCAGGATACACTTGGCCAGGTCGGACTCCATCCTGGTCGCGGACCATTCGTCGACGATAACTAGTTGAGTTTCGTTCGTAATCATTGCCGCAGAAAATTGTCGCTCGTTGGTAAGGGAAGCGATAAAATTGGCGGGTATGAGGCGATGAAAGATGTTGGACCACGAGGTCTTTCCCGAGTCCTTGGGTCCGGCAACAACCAACTTCTTGACTTTGTGTGGCATGTTGAACGCCAACAGACATTGATAGAACTTATTTAGGAACTTGGCACGTACGCCCTCGTCAGAAAAGGAATTTAAGATGCCTTCCTTGAAATACTGTGGCTGCGGAGGAGTGGAGTGATCGTAGGGCACGAAAGATCTTGGGGACACTTTGCCGAGCATTGATGTGGGAATGGGGCAGGGAATGAAGCATCGCGATTTTATGGAAAAGCAGTACCCATTCAACACCTCGATCAGGTCCAGGTCGAAGTCGAGTTGCGGAATTAGTTCGCACGCAGGGTGTGACAGAAACTTTTGGATAATGTGGAAATGTTGCACAAGTTTATCACGCAACTGTTCGTTGGCCATTAGACGATGGAGATAACTCGTCACGTCCATCATATGGACAAAGGTCATCGTAGCTTTGTCTGGTTTTACGTATATTTGAGATTTGTAGAGGCCATGGTTACAGATTTCCATAACTTTCTGGATTTTAAAGATCGTCTTAGTCACGTCGTTGTTGGAAGATGGACATGAGGTGGTGGGGTCAACTACACGCGTTTCAGCCAGATCAACAACGAGACCGTCGGATTCAAGCCTTGCGACAGAAGTGTTTAATTGGTCGCGAAAATCGTTGACATTGTCCACTACAATACAACATGGAACGACGGGAAAACGGACGCATCCGAACTCCAACAGTTCTTCAACTTCGGTGTCATCTTCATCGCTGTCAGACGACCAATCTCGCGCGTTCCTGTAGCAGTACACATTGGAAACATCTAACATGTCCTGTATTGTTGGATTATTGTGATCTTTCACTACGTTGAACAGTTGCTTCGCGGCCTTTTCCATGTCGTTGGCTCGAACTCGGATAGGTGTTATTTCCGGTTCCATGTCTTCCCTGTGAAGGGCTGAGAACAGGATCTCCTCGCTGCACGTTTCGCATTCCTTGTATACAATGAAAAAGGCGATGCCGGGGTAGCTTTGTGCTTCTGACTCTTCGTCGGACGTTTGGGCGCTCTTAGCGTTGGACATGACGCACGTGACGCACGAGAAATAAAATTGAACGCCTTGTATGCACGATAACACCTCGTGAAGGCGCAAACGTTTGGACGCTATTTGGAGTCTGGCTAGTTCGATATCGTCCGAGCTGACTTTCCAAACCGCACGACATGCCACTGCTCGAAAATTGTTAGAAATCTATACGGATACAACAATTTGTACAAAATATATATTAGCATTGCGCAATGTTTTGCTGCATTGCTATTAAGAAATTCGACCAAAACGGTTGAAATTCATCCATAAACATTGGTTATTGCATTAAAAATACACGTATAGTTATGATAGAAAAAACAATTAGCAAATCTATAAGGTAGATGTATATATGCTATGACCACAAACAGTTAAATATACTAAGATTATAAAACCTACGCACTAAGAATATTAAATCGTTGAACATACAATAACTTTACGCGTGAATGGCATTAAACATATTACACCTACCAAGTTTAGAATGTTGGAACGAAGAGAGTTCTTCAATCTAGTTGAGTCCAAAGACTTTCTTGGCTTAGGAGGCATAACGATGTAACCAGCGTAAGGAACTTGTTAGCGTTAGGTGGTGTTTAGGTATATTTTTGTTTGAAGCGATCGTGTTATTTATATACGTTTGCGTTGTCATGCATGAGAGGAACAATATTTTGTACTTTGGTGATGAATGGTGGTGGTTGAGGTGATGATGATGATGATGATGATGATCATCATCATCATCATCATCATCATCACCATCATCACCATCACCATCACCATCACCATCATCATCATCATCATCATCATCATCACCATCATCATCATCATCATCATCATCATCATCATCATCATCATCATCATCATCATCATCATCATCATCATGGTTGAGGTGATTGTCATGATTGTTATTTTACTTTTTGTTGCATGCCATATATGGCATGCAACTTTCATATAGCTCTAAATTTCGTGTCGTGAGCGGTGAAAGAGCGGTGAGCGTACCGGTCACGTGGCAGATTCGTCAAATGCGACAAATACCGAGTTTTTCCGACGAGCATTTTAAGCCATTTAAGTGATGTGAATCGCTCACATGCACGCAGTTTGTTTTCGTCGAGGAAATGCAAAGAAAATATATACTGATTGTTCGCGGGAAATTTACATTTGAGCGCCTTAGAAAAATAGATCGAGGTAGGTAGAGCTTTGCTGTCTTTATAGACCTTATTCATAAATCGTGACGAGGCCTCGTATCCTAGGATACGGGAACAAAACGCGGGAAAACAAGCGAAAACTGCTTGACAAGCCAAATTCAGATGCTATTGTGTCTACTTTAACGGCTTGTTTCTTGTTGCTTTTTGCGATTTATAACGATTTTTGTGTGTATTTTAAGACTTTGTGCCTACAACGAAAGCGGTAAACGAGTATATTATAAAAGCGACCGGTTTTTCTCCCATTTTTGTGTGGAAAAAATGACAACGTAGCGATGGTGTTTATCTAGAAGCGAAAAACAGTATTTTACTGAGATTTTATCGTCAATATAAAGGTTATTCCGTGAAAAATCAAGACAACTATGGAATGAAAGTATAATTTTTCGAATTTGACATTAATGTGGAAGAAAACAACAGGTCAAAAATCACAAGAGAACGTCAAATATCATTGATTCGTACGGGAAAATATGAACTATGGCTCTGGCTCGATAACATTCTGCAAGTAGCTTACAAGTTTAAAAAATGAAGGCTACATTACCTGAGTGAGTTGTAATCTTATTTCTTCAACAATAGTTTCATATTTCTTACGATTTTGGTGTTGTATAGACGTTTTGTAGCCTTGTTGGTTGTTTGTTTTACGACAAATAATACAAAGTCAAAGGTTTCCTTTTTCGATTGACTCCAGCATCTTTTGCTTTAAATATCATGTTATATTTTCTCAGAAGTATTTTTTTTTCAACTTTCAAGCTCAGTTTTATAGATATTATTTTCGAAAAACGCCGTAATATTCACGAAAAAAAGCTGCCATAGCCGACAGCAAAAAAACATTTTGTCAATTTTCCCGCGTTTTTCCCCGTTTCCTAGGATACGAGGCCTGATCACGATTTATGAATAAGGTCTATGGCGTGAAAAAGGCTAATCCGATCTGCACAACAGCCGTATAAATTCTTTTTGTAGTTATTTTGTATTGTAATATCCAGTTATTGCAATATGGTGTTATTTACAATCTCTGTGGTTTTGATGGCATGCAACATGTACGCACTGCGTACCTATTTTTTACAATAACTACGTGTAGTAGCCATTGGTGCCAATAAATGAAAGTTTCAGCAGCTATTTAAAAGACCTAAAATTGAGTAAATTTTCTGATATTTGGAACATTGATAAAACACATAACAAATTTCTCGCCCATGAAATGCGTTTTAAACTTCTAAATTTCGCGTGCAGGCTATTTTTAATGTACTATTTAAAAAACGAGCAGGAGTGTTTTATTAGGTTTAAAGCGCGAGTGGCTTTAGACCTAATAAAACACGACCCGCGAGTTTTTTAGATGACTTCAAAAACGTATGCATATTAAGTCAATCTTTATATAAAAATCTTTATATAGTTTGCATAACAATGGTCTTTTGTTAAAGTGTTTTTTAGCTGGTCTAAAGACGTATGCACGTGACTAATTTCTTACTCAAGATTGGATAATTGCTTCATGAATTATTAATGAGTTTTTGAAGCTGATAAAAAAGACAATCTCTCCTGCTCTGGAAAATTTATTTTTACGAAAATATTTTGTTTATTGTACATTTATATAAGTATACCCAAACAATCTATATTTATCAAAAATTTTATGAAATGAACGGATTTGTGAAATTGAGAGCCGCCGTTTCAAAATTGTTTAGTTTGTTTTTAATCACCCTGTATAATTCTTGTCACTCTCCAGGGTCAGAAGGATATTAAAGAACTACATTGGCATTCTCAGATTCCTGGTGTTGTAGTCAGCACGGCTGAGGATGGATTCAATGTCTTCAAAACGATAAGTGTTTGAACTATAATGATTCGTTTTTGTTTATAACTACCACATTAGATAAAATGTCAGACATGAATTGTTCCCAGGACTATTGTCAGTATAGATCGCGCTATTCTAGCTATGTACAACCCACTAGTGGCATTGAAAGGTGGGACACTTAGATCGGAAGGTTATTTTTGTAAACAATAGATGATTAAACTATAGACTAAATTTTGATCTAGGCAAGAAGAACAAAATCCATCACCACAGCTAGAAAGGGCATGTTAAAATTAGTAAAATTGCAAACTTTGGCCGCCAAATGATGTAAAATGCAGAAAATATAGCCATGCGAAAGTTGAAAATTTTGTATTAATTTGTATTACGCCCGGAAAAATGCACCACATTTGGGCCGAAAGTGGTGCATTTTCCCGCGCGTAATACAAAATTTTCAAATTTTGCAAGGTTATATTTTCCGCATTTTACAACATTTCGTAACCAAACTTTGCAATTTTACTAATTGTAACATGCTCTTTCTAACTGTGGTGATGGATTTTGGTCTTCTTGCCTAGATCAAAATTTAGTCCATAGCTGAAATAATCTATTGCAAAGATAACATATGAAACCCCCATCTCTCATTTCAATGTTGCTGTGTGTGCTGGGAGAGTTATCAGCAACGCAATACAACACAAAACTATACTTCAAATAAAATGTCAATTTTAGTTTAATAACATTGAGGGGGGGAGGGGGATTATGTTACAATTTGAGCCTAACCCGTCCACGTATTTTGTCACTGATTTTAGTTCGTCCGGACAGTTCATATTGTGTTTATACTAGGTAGTCTGGAAGTGTGATGCGTTTCCACAGATTATGCGTTTCAACGTAAAAATCTCACATCTCGTAGCAAGTCTGCCAACAAGCCGTCAACAAGTTGTGTTCGCACTGCTTGTCCCAACTTCGGAACAAGCTGTTAACAACTTGTAACAACCTAGTTGATATTATCAGACTTGTTGCAAAGTTGTTCCAACAATTCTGATACAGTCGTGATATATATGTAACAATGTTGTTACAACATTGTGTTGTCAATCTTGTATAACATTCTTGTTATATCATGGCTGTATCAGACTTGTCAGAACAACCTTGTAACAAGTCCAATAGCTTCTAATAATGCCATCAAGCTTGTCACAAGTTGTTAACAGCTTGTTCAAAACTCGTTGCAACTAAGGAACAAGCAGTGCGAACACAACTTGTCAACAGCTTGTGAACAGATTTGTAACAACTTGTTTGCGGACCTGCAACAACTTGTACAACGTTTTTACGTCTGAAGTATAAGTCATCAAATCGAGCCAATATGTAAATATTTTAAAAATATGAAAAGTAAACACTCATTGGGAACTCTCTTAGCTGCCAGATTTTTAGCACTTGCGTAAGAATTAACTAAATATTTATTCACTTGAAAGTGGTCTGCCCACTCGCGTTATTTCGTCAAAATTTAATCACGGCGTTATGCTAGAATATATAAAATCAATACAACTTTTCCAACATGAATAGGAAATACGTTTTAAGTACCGGTAGTATTATTTACATATTTCATTATTGACAGCGGTCAATTCTGATTTATATAAACGAAAACGAGGGATGCATTGGGGATGACCCTTATACTGGACCTCTGGGGAGAATAGTTTAGTTTAGAACTGATAGAGCTATATCCAGTATAAATAAGGTTAGTTTAGTGTAGGTTTCCTCCTGCATGTAGTAACACCGGATCAATAAGAGATGATCCTTACTTACTGGACCTCTGGAGAGAACAGTTTAGAACTGATAGAGCTATCCAGTATAAATAAAGTTAGTTTAGTTTAGGTTTCCTCCTGTAGTAACACTGGATCAATAAGAGATGATCCTTACTTACTTACTGGACCTCTGGAGAGAACAGTTTAGAACTGATAGAGCTATCCAGTATAAATAAAGTTAGTTCAGTTTAGGTTTCCTCCTGTAGTAACACTGGATCAATAAGAGATGATCCTTGCTGGACCTCTAGGAAGAACAGTTTAGAACTGATGGAGCTATCCAGTATAAATAAAGTTAGTTTAGTTTAGGTTTCCTCCTGTAGTAACACTGGATCAATAAGAGATGATCCTTACTGGACCTCTAGGAAGAACAGTTTAGAACTGATAGAGCTATCCAGTATAAATAAAGTTAGTTTGGTTTAGAGGTGATCCTTACTTACTGGACCTCTGGAAAGAACAGTTTAGAACTGATCCAGAAAAAGTTAGTTTAGTTTAGGTTAACTCCCGCAGTAAGACCAGTAACACTGGATCAAAAAGAGATGACTCTTACTGGACCTCTAGGAAGAACAGTTTAGAACTGGTATAGAACAGTATAAATAAAGTTAGTTCTAAGACAGAGAAATTAAAATTTGTAAACTAGAAACATTGTTTTTGCAGTGTCATATTTAGATATACTGATATGCATCATCAAACAGTCGTAAAAAATGCCGTTTCAAAGTTTCAATTATTTCTGTGGGATTAATTTTCATGTCCGATTAGCAGGGTGACAAATCATCGTTACTTAACATTTACTATTTGTGTCCATATCTTGATTACTGGAAAATGAATACTGGCTTTTAGCTATACGTCATAGTACGGAAATGATCAAAAATCTTATATCATGTAGTGTTAGGAAAATTGACAGGGAAAAATGCATTCGATCATACAGAGGTAGTACATGTTCTTGAATGTGGGTTACCTTGAAGTGATCTGATGTTGTACAGAATTCATGTGAGTCTCTCTGAGCTAAGCAAGATTAGATCATGCATGCATGTAGATTAAGGTGATCAGGTGCACACGTTCTTGAATATTCTTTAATAACTTGATATTAATACCTATCGAGCTTCTTAGAAGCAAATGTTTTGTCCATTTTAAATATACATTAGCGGTCCCACTTAAGTCGTTTTGAAGATAAAATGATAACTGCATTCATATTGCTTATTATAGAGTGTATCTTTTGGGCAATAACGGATAAGAATCTCAAGCTAGTTTTAACGACTGCTTCTAATTAGCGTCCACATGCATGCAAGGTTCAACGTTTTGTGTGTGATACGGTATTTAACGTTGGCATCCTCCCACAAAGTGGGCATCATATTTGTGTTTTCATTAATGTTTCCCTGATTTTTTCAAGTTTAATTTACGGCTAACAAGTGCAGCAAATATCGAATGTTTATTCAGTTTAAGTGCAAAACAAACAATTTAAACTTATCAGAACAGGCAGCTGTCTATGATAATTTTGTAAGTATTAAAATATACGAGCAAAATGACACGAAATCTAAGGAATGTTCCTTATTCGACTTCTAGCTAGTTTAGAACTGATATAGTTGTCCAGTATAAATAAAGTTTAGTTTAGGTTTTCTCCTGTGGTAAAACTGGATCAATAAGAGATGATCCTTACTGGACTTCTAGGGAGAACAGTTTAGAACTGATAGAGCTATACCCAATATAAATAAAGTTAGTTTAGTTTAGGTTTTCTCTAACAGATTATCGTTACTGGACCTTGAGAGAAACAGTTTGGAACTTATTTACTAAAAAAGAGATTATGTAAAATTTCGTGTGAAAACAAATTAACATTTATTTATTAAAATAAATATTTTGCTTTCTTTGTGGGAGGAAAAGTTATAATCACCGCCTTTTGAGGCACGAATTAACGGCTAATGATTACGTCAGCACCGTCATCTAATGCGTAATTTGCCAAGTTTGAACAAAATATAAACTGAATTGTGCGCTTGGATTTTCGGAATGAATTCAGAATGATTTCGCCTCCTCAGTTGACAGGGGAGGCATGCGTCGAGCACAGCTACACCCGTAAATATCTCACAACGTGTCAACAAGATGTGTTCGCAACAGGCTTGCAGCAAGCTTGTCAACAAGTTGTAACAAATGATGTTATTTCATCAAGTCGCTACAAAGTCAAAGTTGTCACTCGCAACTTGTTGAGAAGTTGTTGAAGCGCAGGGCGATAACAAGTTCTTGGAACAACTTGCAACAAGTCTGTTGATCTCAACAACCTTGTAGCGAATTGTCAACAAGCCGTTGACAACTTGCCGATTATACGATTAGTATTTCTGTAGCGAAAATGTACATGTCGATGCATATGATCAAATGCGCTTTACATCAAGATTCAAGTGTTACGCTTACCTAATTTCATGGGTGGGTTGACTACAAAATTTTTGTAGTTCGCTATAACTACAGCTACTTCAAAAACATGTAGTCAGCTACAACTACTGCTACTTTTGAACAAAGGTAGTTCGCTACTGACTACAGCTACTGCTTAAAAAATGTAGCCAACTATTTCGCTACGCTGTATTTTTTAGTTTCACTGTATTTGGAGCATCTACTAATTCAGGCTGTAATGTAATCTATAATAAATCGACTTACGAGTAGCAACAGTATTAAACACAAAGCAACATTTTTGTAAGCACTACAGTGTTCAAGAGTGCAAATTGACTATTGGGTATTGATTTTAAGCAAACCATGTCTCAATATCATGCTATTCTATCAAGTTGCTAACAATTTTAAAAAGTAGCGAATAGCGATTCGCTGTTTGAAAAGTAGCTCAACTACTCGGCTACTTTTAGGCAAAATGTAGTTCGCTATAACTACAGCTATTGTTTTAATAAAGTAGTCAAAAACTACAGGCTACTTGAAAATTGTAGTTCGCTACAGTAGCGAACTACAACTACTTCGCTACTACCCACCTTGCCTAATTTCATAGTTAGCCGAGACTATTTTATCGTTACAACAATTGTGATATTACTCTCTTAACTGTGTTTAACCTAACCCACCCTGTCAACTTTCCCGGTGGGAGGAAACCGGAGCACTCGGAGAAGGGCCGCGACTTTCGGCAGAGCGTTGACAGACTCTTTTCACATGAGTCCGTAGCGAGAATCGAACCCACGAACTCAGAGGTAAAATGCGCCACCGAAGCCACATTTTACTTTGTCCAAACACCAGATGATTTTGCTTGTCAATAGACAACTCCTCGAAGGATCGTACAACCGGATCTTGAAGGTGAAATCTTGGTGAGTCCAGGGCGACGTGATTCCAGTCTTTTTCGACACCATGATAGGCAAAGCTATGTCAACTCCCCCTGAAGGTATCCTAGTTTAGCAATTAATATCCATTTAGCAGCAGATTGACAGTATTAAAGATAGCACATCTGGTTTATCATTTTAGTTATCTTGTAGACGCCACACTGCAACAAGTCAAGAAGAAGAAGAAAGGCGCTACGCTATGAACAATTCAAGCGGTAAGAAAATATGCTTTGATTTTTATGTGAATTAATTCGAGAGCTTTTCCATTGACAAATAAAATCATCTGGTGTTAGACAGAGTAAAATACTGAAGCACCAAATCACGTATAAAAGACAATATAACCTTTTCTTAAGGCCGGGTTACACTATCAAAGTTTCTGTGATCACAGTAGAAATGGTAAATTCTAAGTTTTGAAGGATTTGTAAGAAATGTTTGAGGGAACTAGCTTAGTGTTTAACACTGAGTCAGTTTGCTTAAACATTTGTTAGATAAAGTATGAACTAAAGTTGTATGAACATATATATACTAAAACTGTCTGTACCAGTGTTGGTAGTGCCAATTTATTGTGAAAATGTTGTGCTGAGTGGTTATATTACTACCTTAAAAATAAGCAGAAACTCGACGTTTCGAGCGAAGGCCCTTCGTCAAGAGTTAATAGTATATGAACATATATAGCTGATGAATGAGTGCCAGCTTCGGTCCAGTTCTAATAAGTGATGGCAGGAATCGAACTCGAGTACCTGAAAAATAGAAAAAGAACTTCGACGTTTGCAGTGAAGGCCCTTCGTCAGGTAGCTAGTAAAGTAGTAGCGTGTGCGGTGGTAGTGTATATTAGGTATCCATGTGTTAATATTCACAAATATTGTCATTGAGACGAAGGGCCAAATACATATTGGAATTTTAATAGACACTTTCACATTGTCCTCCCTGAGGACACTCGACAAGTGATAGGATAAAGCTGAGTGATAGGATTATAGCATCATCAGATAGAAACATTCTTTTGTCTTAAAATATACAGGGAAGAATTTGCTAAGCTTTCCATATCGTTCTCAAGAACACTTCTTCAAATTATTTTAAACAATGAAGGCTGCATGTAAACATACATAGAGACAGTTGTCGAGCTCTAACCAGCTGAGCTACAGAGAGACAGTTGTCGAGCTCTAACCATCTGAGCTATAGAGAGACAGTGTCAAGCTCTAACCAACTGAGCTACAGAGAGACAGTTGTCGAGCTCTAACCAACTGAACTACAGAGAGACAGTTGTCGAGCTCTAAACAACTGAGCTGCAGAGAGACAGTTGTCGAGCTCTAACCAACTGAGCTACAGAGAGACAGTTGTCGAGCTCTAACCAACTGAGCTACAGAGAGACAGTTGTCGAGCTCTAACCAACTGAGCTACAGAGAGACAGTTGTCGAGCTCTAACCAACTGAGCTATAGAGAGACAGTTGTCGAGCTCTAACCACAAGTTCATGTATAAATACTGAGGTGATACCAATGTAAGATGTATGGGGAAATATCTAGGGTCGCAGGTTTAATTCCTGCCAAAGGGGCGATAGTTGTATTTTTCGCAACTGTTCCTGGTTAGGTCTAATAAATGTATAAAATTCCACTCGAAATTTCCATCTACAAATCTCTTCCACAATTATTTATATCGAGTGAGATGTTCAAAATCATGATATTTAAGCATGCATAAACTATGGAATGTTCACAGGGATATAGACAAAACAAACAAAGTCCTTATCCTTTTGTTTTTATACGCATAAGTAATACGAATCTGTCATAACATATCGAATCCTCATTTCACATCTATATGACTGGGCTTCGATAACTAACGAGTAATGGACAACGTATCAATAAAGTTAGTTCAGTTTAGGTTTCCTCCTGCGGTAACACTGGATCAATAAGAGATGATCCTTACTGGATCTCTAGAGAAAACAGTTTAGAACTGATAGAGCTATCCAGTATAAATAAAGTTAGTCTAGTTTAGGTTTCCTCCTGTAGTAACACTGGATCAATAAGAGGTGATTCTTACTGGACCTCTAGGGAAAACAGTTTAGAACTGATAGAGCTATCCAGTACAAATAAAGTTAGTTTAGTTTAGGTTTCCTCCTGTAGTAACACTGGATTAATAAGAGATGACTCTTATTGGAAATCTAGGAAAAACAGTTTAGAATTGATAGAGCTATCCAGTATAAATAAAGTTAGTTTAGTTTAGGTTTCCTCCTGTAGTAACACTGGATTAATAAGAAATTACTCTTATTGGACATCTAGGAAAAACAGTTTAGAACTGATAGAGCTATCTAGTATTACGGGAACCACTGTTTTTACAAAGTACAAAAGAACGCTAATCGTAGTTTTCTGGCTTTCGACTATATAGAATTACGTGACGTAAGGACTTCTAAGGTCAATTAACCCGTTCACGGCTGGGATCCCGTGTGGGTCGACATGGCGAATTTGGGAAGAGGGGGGGGGGGGGCTGTCTAATTACTCTACGGTTGAGTAAAACTGCTTCAATGCTGCATGTGGTCTTCGCCTTGTGGGGGATCATTCTCTCCAATTTTATATTCATTCCTTTAATTTTCAAGTTGTATTGTTATGTTTGCCAAGGAGTTAACCTCGCTGGGACTTCGTGTCCGTTCGTTAGCCCCTCATCAAGTTGTTCGAAATTTTTGTGATTACTTTCACTCCATGTTGTTCATATGTACTCACATGTTGTTTATAACTTGATGAAAATTTTGACCAGCTAAACATTTCTATAGCTTTCGACTGTATGTTATTCATGAAATTCTGAGTGTGAAATGTTGACGCTTAAAATGTTAACTAAGCTAGAAAATTAAAATGCTCATTTTCGGAGGGTTTTTTTTTTTTTTTCATTAATAAAGATTATTTCTTCTATTTAGCTCCGAATATGACAAACAATGGTTCATTCAGTGGTTCATTTCGTCCATGGCCATTTCCATTTTTTTCCCAAGTGGGTTGGATTCTTGGCGTGTTAGTGACTCACTCCATACTTGCTGTATTTATCACCTTCAGTAATCTCGTGGTTCTTGCAGCGTTCTACAAAAACTCCAAACTACGCACAACTACCAATCTCATCATCATTTCCATGGCAACAGCTGATCTCTTAGTTGGATGTGTAGTGGTGCCTCTTTGGCTCTACACCGCTGATCTCTGGTTTATGATTGGACCACCATTCCAAGAATGGCAGATGAAGTTGTTCCGTACCTATACATACACAGATCAAGCTTTGGGTCTTAATTCTATATATCAGTTGGTCCTACTCCATGGGTTAAGGTCCTATTCTATTGCCTTTCCTTTGAGACATCGCCAATTGAACAACAGTAAGTTTGGTAGCTTTTTGGTTTGATGGAACTGCGGTTACCATTTCATCTCTGTGTCCAAGGTTTCATTCCTGCAATATGCAATAGACAATTCCCATTACAGACTAATTTTAAAACTAGGGAAGGAGATGCAAATAAATCACCACAGGTAGAAAGAGCATATTAAAATTAGTAAATTTGCAAAGTTTGGTTGCGAAATGTCGTAAAATGCGGAAAATATAGCCTTGCAAAGATCGCAAATTTTGTATACTTTTGTATTGCGTGCGACCATTTTCGGCCCAATGTGGTAGGAATGTGGTAGGAATTCCGCACGCAATACAAAAGTATACAAAATATGCGAACTTTGCAAGGCTATATTTTCCGCATTTTACAACATTTCGCAACCAAACTTTGCACACTTACTAATTTTAGTATGCTTTTTTTAGCTGTTGTGATTTATTTGAGTCTACTTGCCTTGTTTTAAAATTAGTCTATAATGGGAATTGTCTATTGTTTGATTATAATTTCACCTCGGTCGCATGCGAGAAGAGTGCTTCCAGTTTTACTCTACCAAACACCACAGATTTTCTACAGGCAGTCGGGTTTCTTGAGGGAAGCACTAACTTCTAAGAAGAACAGTTTTGAACTGTTCTATCCAGTATGACTAAAGTTAGTTTAATTTTGTTTGCATTTCCTCGTGTAGTAACACTGGACCAACACAGGAAGAACAGTTTAGAACTGAGTGAGTTTAGATTTCCTTCTATAGTAACACTAGCTGGATCGACAAGGGATCATGATCCTTACTGAACATCTAGGAAGAACAGCTTAGAACTGTTCTATCCAGTATGACTAAAGTTAGTTTTGTTTACATTTCCTCCTGTAGTAACACTGGACCAACACAGGAAGAACAGTTTAGAACTGATTGAGTTTAGATTTCCTTCCATAGTAACACTAGCTGGATCGACAAGGGATCATGATCCTTACTGAACATCTAGGAAGAACAGCTTAGAACTGATGGAACTATCCAATGTAAATGAAGTTAGTTTAGCTTAGGTTTCCTCCTGTAGTAGCACTGGATCAATAAGAGATGACTCTTACTGGACCTCTAGGGAGAACAGTTTGGAACTGATAGAAAATAAAGTTAGTTTATTTTCTACAAACCATTTCTAATTGATCTACTTTCTTATAGGACCCGTCATCGCTGTATGTTTGCTGGTTTGGGCAATCTGCATTGCGTTTCCACCTGTGGTGCGTGAGGTAGTCATCCCAAAATCCTGTACAAACTGTTTCGCTTACGTCACTTTGATTGCCAATATTGGCCTACCACTGGTTTTATTGACCATTGCAAACATTATACTTTGGAGAAGTGTTGTAAAAAGCTCCCGAGCTCGTCAGAAGAAGGTCAGTTTTTAAACTAACTTTATCTGTTTTATCAAAAGAAAAACTGATTTAATAAGAGATTACTGGACCTCTAGGGAGAACAGTTTAGAACTGATAAAGCTATCCAGTATAAATATAGTTCGTATAGTTTAGTTTAGGTTTCCTCCTCTATAGTAACACTAGATGAATTTATATTCTTGTGAGATTTCTAGAGAGAGCAGTGTAGAACTGATAGTGCTATCCAGTATAAATATAATTTAGTTTAGTCCTGTAGTAAGACTGAATCCACTGAATCCAATCCATATTCTAATCCTATAATTTAGTCCTGTAGTAAGACTGAATCATTAAGGGATGATCCTTTAATACTGGAACTCGCGGGAGAAAAATCTCGAACTGGTCAAGCTATCCAGTATAAACAAAGTTAGTTTTGTATAGGCTTCCTATACTTATTCGGAATAACTTTTGTTTATTAACACTGGATCGATGAGAGATGATCCTTACTTACTTACTTACTTACTTACTTACTTACTTACTTACTTACTTACTTACTTACTTACTTACTTACTTACTTACTTACTTACTTACTTACTTA